CTAGTATTAGTCTTAGCCTTAGTTCTAGCATTGGTATCAGTATCAGTGTCGAGTAGCAGTAGTAGTAGTAGTAGTAGTAGTAGTAGTAGTAGTGGTAGTGGTAGTGGTAGTGGTAGTGGTGGTAGTAGTAGTAATAGTAGCAGTAGTAGTAGTAATAGTTATTTTTAATCATAGTAGTAGCAATAGTACTAGTAATAGTACTAGTAATAGTAGTAGTAATAGTAGTAGAAATAGTAGAATCAACAATGGTATTAGTAGTAGTAGTAGTAGTAGTAGTAATAATAATAATTCATAGTGTTAGCAGTCGTAGTCTTAGTAGAAGTAGTGGAGGGAAGAAGTTGTTGTTGTGGCAGTAGTCTTAGCAAACGGAGGAGGAGTACCAGTACGAGGAGGAGGAGGAGGAGTGATCCACCGAACCCTATCGGAGTCTTTTGAGACGTCCTGCTGCAGTGCTTTCTTCGGAGATTCAGTTTAACTAAAAATCAAAGACGTCCCATGCCTCAAGGGCAGGAACGGGTGGGACTTGCTGTGCTGCAGTTCCGGCCGATTCCACGGTGTCTCTTTCTGATGATGTTTTTCGAAATAGGGGCCATACATAGGTTCCATAGATCTGAGCATATTTGACCCCAATACAGCTCGACTGAGCAGCATTGATGCATTGATTGACTCAGAAAAATATTGCTTGACGGGCACCTATTCGGAAAAGCCTGTTCTCCGAACAAAGCACGACATCCGATTGATATAGAGGCTTTAAAAGGGTTGTGGGGTATATTCTACCATAGGTATAATAAGAAACCCCCTAAAATAGTGTAGGTAACCATTAAAGCCCCTATATTACACGGAGCCCCAAGGAGCCCTTGCTTATCACCACGACAGCGCGACACATCTCTCTAATGCTCTAGCATGCCGTGCCGATGAAACAGGCGCTTCTCACACTTACGATCCACGATGCGGCTAGCATCGATGCTTCCAGCATACAGCAAAGTGCATGCATGCAGGCATTGCACAGACAATTGTCTCAAAATGCGGCTACATCTCCAAGTAGCAGTCGGCAAGTGCCAGAGAAGACACTCTCCGACATTCGGATGGGTCTCCGTCCAAGCCCATCTGCAAGTAGCTCGGGATTGATAGCATTCTAGCGAAGTCGGCCACGGTGCGCTTCTTGCAATTCTGCAGGTCTGTCCTTGCACCGCCCCAAATCAGAAAATTCACTCTTTTATCCTATCCCCTGGTGGTCCCTCACATAAATGTAGTAACTCGTCCTTGCACCGGCCGAAATCAGGGTCGCAGCAGCTTCCCACTGGGCCGTCCGAATAGCCTGCATGAGCGGCGTGCTGCCGTGCTGATGCAGTGAGTTTTCCTCAGCTGAAATTTTTGGGCAAAAGACGGAAAGAGAAACGCTTGTGGCCGTTCGGGCTAAGTGAATCCTGACATGGTTTAGAAGTGCAAGGGTCCCACTCCGGTGAAACACGGATTTGGTAAACTTAGGTACGGGAAACACGTAGCCCTAAACCCTAAACTTCAACATTCCTATTAGAAACCCTGTAAAGAACTTCAATCTTTAGAGCAACCCATACACAAACTCGTCAAAAAAGCCGCTAGATGGGAGTTTCCGAAAATAGGGGCCCTAATATAGTACCCTAAAATAGTAGGACCCTTATTATAAGGACCCCAGAATAAGGTACCCTAATTTTCGGAAACTCCCAGATGGAATCGCCGAGTTTCGGATAGAGAAGTCACCCGCCCCAGGCGGGACCTGAGTTGTACTTGTCCTAAACCCTAAACCCTAAACCCTAAACCCTATACCCTAAACCCTAAACCCTAAGCCCTAAACCCTAAACCGTAAACCCTAAACCCTAAACCCTAAACCCTAAATGTCCAGTATCCTAGTGGAACTTAAACCGTTAACTTCTTTAATCTAGGGACAAAAGGGAAAATAGTACTATGGTACAACCACGCACAACCCTAAACGAGAATTAAGTCCTGAACCCTGAACCATACTCGACTATTAACCCTAAACCCTAAACCCTAAACCCTACTAAGGTACTGCAGGGACTTCGTCGCAAAGAGCAGCCGCCCAAGGGGCCGGTACTCACGAGATACCTAAGGGCTGGTCTAGGGCCCAAGGCCCAGTGCAAATTACAACAAACTGCTAGAACAGTATACAGGTGTATTTGCGATGTTAAAATATATATATATATATACACACACATGTATCTCGCTCTCTGTCTCTCTCTCTCTCTCTCCCTTCCCCTCTCTCTCGGGTCGAAGGACTACGGGAGCTGAATGATGAAGTTTAACATTGCCAGCTCTCATTTGGGACATACTGTGCCAAAAATTAGTTTAAGTATATATATATATATACATATATATATATATATATATGTTCAGCACTCCAGCGCCTTGAGCTGGAAGTCAATGTCTGCACGCACCTCGATCAAGCGCTGCACCATCTCTGCCGACCCACCGCGAAAATTCACTGCAGCCCACAGTGCCCGCGACAGCTCTAGCTGGTCTGGTTGGCACTGCCTCAGAAGTTCCTCCACTGCTTGAATTGCCCCATAACTGGCACATGTCTGCAGGGGGGTATATCCAATGACACCCTGTGCCAGTGGGCGGCCACCTGCAGCACAAAGCAGTCGGATGCCTTCTGCGTTGTCCCTCGGCCCCGCAAAGTGCATGGCCTCAATGAGGCCACCATCCAGCTGGGCCCGGGCTGCGAGGAGCAGCTTGGTGGCTTTGTGGTGCTTGAAGTAGACAACCATGTCAAGAGCCGACATCCAGGGTGGAAAGCCCAAGGTGGGTTCATCCTTGGAGGTTCGAGAATTCACATCGGCTCTTTCCTCCAGCAAAGCCCTGAGAAGCTCGGTGTCCCCGGAGAGTGCGGCATAATGCAGCGGCCTCCAGCCTGCGGTATCCACTTCGTCGGAGCGCCGGAAGCCGTTCTGATGCAAGAACTCTGCCAAAGTGTTGCAACCGGGAGCTCGATCGGCATCGTGTCTTGGCAGGAAGCCCCTAACCGGTTCCGCCTCTAGTCCGCGCAGATGCACGGTTTGGAGGTTGAAATGACGCTTGAATCCAGGCAGATCGCCAGCTTGGAGGCAATGCTTCAGCTTCTGCTGCACGATGTTGTGCATGACCGGTGCTAGTGCCTGCCTATCCTCTAGAAAAGCAAATTCGCCTTCCCCTGCAGATCCACTCACAAAAGATATTGAGGTGCCAGTAACTTCCATGGTGGTTCCGCCACGAACAAGAACCCAGCTGGTGCCTTTGGAAAGCTCACGCGCCACGCGCTCGATCCGGCACCACCCCCGCCGTCCCCACGTCGTCATGGAAAGAACTTTTTCCTCCTCTGGGCAGTCGAGGGTCGGACACAAAGCCAGGAAGAATTGGCATCGGGCGATGTAAGCCGGGATGCTGCTGATGGCGTGTGCCTGCTGACTCTGGCCCTCCTCGGGAAAGGAATTCTGGCCCGCCAGCACAAACGAATTCTTACCCTCCAGCTGCGGACACGAGAAGTAGTCATACCAAAGGAACAAAGCCTCCTTCTGAAAGTCTTGCAGGAGAAGGGGTTTTGCAGTGGGGACGACCGATTCGGTAGCTGCATCTAATGGCAAAGAGCCGCGGCCTGCCAGGAGTCGTTCAACCGCATCCTGTAGAATGCGCATTTGTTTAAAATCGGGATCAGGATGTAATTCGGACAGCCATTGATGTGACACGAAGGCTGCTTTTCCAATGCTGCTGCTGAAGATGACCAACTCGTCCCGAGCCTGCGCGCAAAACTAACTCCGTTAGAAGTCCGTGGTGAACCCTCGGCCCTCAATTAAAGCACTCCGAACTTCCCTGCTGTTGGTCAGGCCGTCCGACCCCCTCCCTTGACCGCACAAAAGCTCAACTAGCTTCGTCATACTCAACTGCCTTCTCTTGTCCTCCGTCGTGACACCTCCGAACTTTCTGGCCTTCAGCCACCTATCAAAGCTCTTCTACACCCTTATCAGAACTCCCGTTCACAACCCTTCTCACAGCTCCCGTTCGAGCTTTCCAGCCTTCAGCTTTTCGTGTGGCTCGACTTCCGTCATCTTCAGCAGAAGCTCTGCAGCGACCGTGTACATGGGAAACTGCATCGGAATAGCCTGGGTGTGAGTGTCTGGCCTTATGCAGGTCTCCAAGATTTGATACTACCTGGGTGTAGGGTTTCATGGATGCTTGTAAGGTCTCCACGAATCTTAATCAGGGTGCAACGGATTCTTTGAAGAGCTTCATGAGTGAAGATACGAGCCAGGAAGGGCTAACATCGCAAATGAAAGGAAGCACCTGAAGTCAAGAAAGTCCGGAACAATGCTTCAACATCGACTTTGCTGGCTTTGGACGCCTTCGCTTGCACTTTTTATTGCATCTAGACCAATATGTGTCCGAGGATTCTCTCGTACCAGTAACCCTAAACCCCAAAACCCTTTTGTTGCATCCAGGCCTATTGCTGCTGCTGGGTACCCCTGAAGAAAGGAAGCAGAGGGCCGGGCAAATCTGCAGCACAAACCCCCAAACCCTAAAACCCTCAACCCTAACCCGGCCGAGTGAGGGCCAAACTGCTGGTTGAGAGGTTTAGGGTTTCGGGTTTAGGGTTTGGCTCTTGGCATTCTACTTCTCCGGGGGCTTTGGGTAGAGAAGCTGCAGCAACTGGATAAGCAAATCATGGGTGTTGTCTTGTGGCTGTTGCGAATTCAGACTGCAGGGAAGTTAGATGACAGTGTGACAGTCTTGTCGAAACGGTTTTTGGACTTTTGACAGGAGCAGTGTGGGGCTGTGCCTATGGGGTTTTAGCGTCTCGGTGCTCACACTCGAACACACCAGGCGAGGTTCTTGGTGCAGGTCTGAAAGACCATGGTCTTTGGAACCTGAAACCCTACTTTTCGGGTAGTCGGACCCCACCCCTAGAGCAAAGTAGACAATTAATACTTGGGGTTTAGGGTTTAGGGTTTAGGGTTTGGGTTTAGGGTTTAGGGTTTAGGGGCACAATGATGTCGTGTAACATCTGCATCATCTGCCAGCGATCTGGCATAGAGCTCCAAGGGCGTCGGGGGCTTTCTCCCCGAGGTACAGGAGCACATTAGCCTACAGTAAAGCCCAGAAAGTTGGAAACCGGATTAAGGACAAATAGTGCTGGGATTCCTTATATATTACTCTTAAGGATTGAGGCTATACCCTAAACCCTAAACCCTAAACCCTAAACCGTTTCCAACTGTTGAGCTTCTACTATAGACCTTTGGGCCTCCAGGGTTGTTCTTTCAGCGGCAACAACAGGGTTTAGGGTTTAGGGTTTAGGGTTTAGGGTTTAGGGTTTAGGGTTTAGGGTTCAACAGTCCTGAAATGGATGCCTGACGAAGCTGCAGCAGTTCTCTGCAAAGGGGAGTTTCAAAGATGAGGAACCTCCAATATAGGGGTTTCAGAACATAGGGGACCCTAATATAGTACCCTAAATAGTAGGATCCTTATTATAAGGACCCCCCAAAAAAGGTACCCCTGACTTCGGAACCTCCCATATACAGCTCAGACTATCGCTGGCTATCGGAGCGTAGGATACAAGGCTCCCATAACCAGGACTAAAACGCTACATGCCTCCATCCTAAACCAATAAACTTTAAGGCGCCGCCAAACCACACTCCCTAAAACTCTGAACCCTGACAAGGACAAACCCGGGGCCGAAAACTTAAAAAAAAAAAAAAAGTGCTACCCCTTCGGTAGCGATGAAATGCCTTGATTTGAGCCGAAAGGCCATGCAAACCAAACTGCATCTTTTAGGTTCGGGGGGGTTTAGGGCTTAGGGATCCGGGCTGAGGGTGCTAGGGAAGTTGAGGGTGTAGGAAGGAGGTATGCGATTTAGGTGTCACTTTGGGTTTGAGGGTATGGGGTTTTCTGTGAACCTCTGTCAGCTTTAAGCACCATAGGTGCTCCAAGAGACCCCAACCCCATGACCTGTCATGAGACCACGACAGGGTTTCGGGACATGTAGAAAGAAAAGGATTTTGTAGAAACACGCCTTTGCCAACCCGCAGACATCCTGCTTGCAACCGAATCCATGGCCTGACCCTCCATGTCCTACCTAAACCCTAAACCCTAAACCCTAAACCCTAAACCCATAAACAGCCGCCAAGGAAGAAACCTCTCTCTCTCTCTCTCTCTCACGGACTCAGTCACCAAGGAAGAAACCTCGGCCCTAGAAACCAAACCCCCGACCCTTCGCCCCTACACCCTTGACACCATGGCCTTCCAGCTTGAGACCTTCTAAGTGTAGTCGAAAAAGGGAAGTATACGGTATCCTGGAATCTCTATGAAAATTTCAGGGTTGGTCTTTAACTCGAATTACGAAACCGGCGTCGTCCTGCGCTCCGTTCGGGAATCTCACGACGACATCGTAGAACTCGAACTGCTCCTCCTCGTCGTTCAGCCACTTCACCTCTACCTGTTCGTCGCAGTTCTATGTTTGCTTCCCCTGGTTTGGGTCTGGTTTTCAGGCGTTTCTGGCTCCCGTCCCTGAACCGAATCGGATGTTCCCTCATTGGCGGAATATGGGTGTTTCCGACAATAGGGGACCCCAATATAGTAGCCTAAATAGTAGGATCCTTATTATATGGACCTCCAAAATAAGGTACCCGGTATAAAATACTATAGTTCCTTATATAAGGAACCTCCAAAATATTATAGGTACTTATGCAGGCGCCCATATTACCATTTGTATACTTGGCGCCCTAGGGCAAAGACAGCCTCGCGCAACCCCGGTTTGACCGGAAGGACCATGCCAACCTTGAACCCCTCACTTCCCAAACTTAACACATCCAATCCTAATCAAACTTCACCAAAAGGATGAAGCGAGGGTTTAGAGTTCAGAGGGAGCATCCAACTTCGGCTTCATCCAAAATCGTCTTCACAATTGCAGAAAAGCTGCTGATGTTTACGAAAACCACGTTTATATCTGATCCTGAAAAACGATGTGCCTCAATTTCCGCTTCTAGCCCAATCCGAATGCCCCAATCCTTTGCTCTTGATTGCTGGAGGTGTTCATCACTGTGCTTCTCTGTATGTTGCTGTCGCTGCATCCCTGTCAGCCGGCACCGATCTGCCGAAAGCCCCGCACCCGAAGCCGGCAAACCCTCTAGAAGTCGCAACCCCCGAAATGTATCATGTAGGGGCCTTAATGATTAGAACAGGGTTTGGGGGAAAGTCTACTAGAATTATAATAAGGAGCCCCCAACATAATGTATTTAGGCGCCTCTATTAGAACCCTTGCTGGGAACGGGCTAAGAGATCTTTAGAGGCCGAGAGATCCTGTGAACGCGATAGTTACCCCCAAGCCTCAAAGCCCCTAAGCTTCGGTTTAGGGCTTGAGGGTTGAAGGGTTTAAGGTTTGAGGGTTTGGGGTTTAAGGATTTATAAGGGCTTAGGGGTTTAGGGTTTAGGGGTTTAGGGTTTAAGGGCTTCAGGGTTCAGGGTTTAGACTAAAGTTTAGACCGGGTTTTCACCAAAAAGGCCCTTGCCATGAGTTTTGCAAGCTTGCAGACTTTGGTGCTGTCGTGGTTGGAATGTTAGGTTTAGGGTTTAGGGTTTAGGGTTTAAGGTTTAGGTTTTTTTTAAAAGTTGGGTTGACGGTCTCTTTGTAGGTTTAGGGTTTAGGGTTTAGTTACATACTGACCGCATGATGGAGGATTCCTCGTATAGGTAGCCGAACTGACGTCAGCTTTAGAAACAGAAGCCAGCAATCTGATTTAGTAGCCCCCTGTTCGGAATTCCGCGGTGGTACTGTACAGCCGAGTCATAAATTTCCAAAGCATACGGCAGCCCTTTTTTTCAATTTCCGGGGGGGGGAGGGGGGGGGGGGAAGCCTACCAAATCTCCACTTCCTTCCAATCACGCAAGGCAGACGGACGCTGCTCGGCTTTTGTTTCATATCTGGTTCCCCAATGCCCTAGATACTCCAAGGCCGCAGATCCTATTTTGCAGACTCCTAATCATAATTATAGTATGATGGGATCCTTAATCTAGGGGCCAAAGAAAATCCCAAGACTATTTTGGAGGTTCCTTATCATAGTTCTAGTATGATGGGCCCCATTCTATAATTATTAAGGCCCCTATATTACTCGAGCCAGCTTGCATTTGGCTGATCCGCATACTTCCGCTTGAGGTAATGGAAGACCTCAGTGTGGGGTTTAGGTTTTTGGCCCGTTTAAAGGAACCCTAAACCTTTAGGGGGGGCTTCGGGCCTACTCACCGTTCAAAGCAGTGCGAAATCCAGTGAAGTGCGGTTAGCCCACATCTCCAGAACCCTGACAACAGCGTGGTTTTTTTTCGGGTGGGACACCTGCTGGAAGCTTTCTGACGCCTGATTTCAGAGCATAAGACACAGCAGTGCTCACACTCTAAGCCTGCAGGTATCTCAGTTACCGACCCAGCGTTCGCCCCAACTCGCCTCAGCTGCCCCATGCTCGGGTTTAGGATTTAGGGTCCTGGGGTTTAGGGTTTAGGGGTTTAGGGGTTTAGGGTTTAGAGGTTTAGGGGTTTAGGGTTTAGGGTTTAGGGCCTCGAGTTTTCGGCCCTAGCACACCCACAAACAAAAGAGGCCAGGTAGCCACTTGTCGCTCATCTTCCGCACAAAGACGTCCTTCAGAGTTTCTGAGCGTGGTCTGAGTATGCTCATCGGACCCGGAGGTGGGCCCTGCATAAGTAACTACACTATACTTCGCTAAGGTGCTATACTATCATACGATCTCTCTATATGTATATAAATATAAGTGCATATATATATATATATACACATGATATGGTTACCGGAGTTTCACTGGCGCTAGGATTTAGATTGTATATTGCTTGGGGGGATGGGGATGGGCGACATTCCCTTTGCTGAGAAGGAGCCAGAGGTGCGTATTCTTATGCCAAAACCTGGCTTCACAAATGGCCCCAGAAGCCCCAAATCCAACCCTGTGGTCTCAAACGGGACAGAAAAACCCAAGCCCAGGCCTAAAGCTCGAACGGAAAGATGACCTCAAGATCAAGACCTGCCCGGAAAGCTACAGACCAATAAGTTTAAAGCCTAGATTCAACTGGTTGAGTTCCAAAAGCTTACAACACTCGAGCCCTAAACCCTAAACCCTAAACCCTTTTTTGAACGAGGTCTCTCTGAAGTGCCTCTAGCAGTATGATTTCATCGATCTCTCTAGCTTTTCAAAACCCTAAACCCTAAAAAATAAAACTACGGCGGCTCCTTGCGTTGGCACGGCGAAGCCGCCGGGAGGAACGTCCAACAGGGCATCGGAATCCACATCCAGGTATCTGAGCGTCTAGGGCTTTTAGAGTTTAGGGTTTTAGGGTTTAGGGCTTTAGGGTTTAGGGCTTTTAGAGTTTAGGGTTTTAGGGTTTAGGGCTTTAGGGTTTAGGGCTTTAGGGGTTTAAAGTTAAGCTACTCGGCTCCGTCATACCCCGAAGCGCCGACTCTGTGGCTCAAACATTGCCGGTTCAGAGTCTCATGAGTTCGAAACTCTCCCGGACCTCTGTCAGCTGAAAGCCTAGGGTTTGCGTGGGTTTTCAAGTTCGTCCCGCCGGCATCGGCAAGAAGAAGATATGTGCTTGTGGTTCTGGCACAATACTCTCATTTTGGAACTCCTTACTGTACCAGGGCGACTTTCCTTGTCATCAGCATCATGAAGGCCTTAAGTAGTGAGTAGTGATGGTAGTGGCCAGGAGTAGAAGAATTCTCAAGGCACAAGCAGCAATAGTAGTGCAACCAGTCCTAGCAGTAGTGCCTGTGTCATTTGCATTAGTCACTCATGACCTGAACCCTAAACCCTCATTAGTGACATTAGTGATTGTCGTAGGACCTGAAACCTTAAACCCTAGATCCTAAAGAACCCGAATGAACGCGCCAAGACCGAACCCCACTCCCTGAGCCAAGGCCCGATTTGAATTTAGAGATGTTAATACTGGTGCCCTGTTGGGGCTATGTGAACATGAGCATATTTAATCCTTATTGGGATTTAACATTATTACAAACTCTGTAAACTTCTCGCCAACAAGGAAGCAGGGAAGGATCCCAGAAAGAATTTCCGAGCAAAGCGACTGCAGTAGAGACAGTTGCACATGATGGGCGAGGCGCTCCTGACAGGAAGAATTAGGTCTTACCCTAAGGGTCCATGTACCCAAATAGGAGATACTTTGGGCTTTAAAGTAGTCCCTATATGGGTACTTTGGGGCCAGAGTATCTACTATTTGGGTACACGGACCGTTAGGGTTAGCCGAAAAACTAACAATGAGCATTCATGTTTTGATGAGGATTCGCTAAAGGGGTCCAAAAGGGGGAAAGCGTCCTTCACAGTTTCAATAGGGTCTTCGTGTATCTTGTAGGAATGTGTTTGTAATAAGGAACCTTGCGGAACAGGATAGCGACTGTCCAGGCTTCGAGAGGAACTCAAAGCCATGAGGCTCACCACAGCTTAGCTTTCAAGGGTTGTCTACGTCAGGTAGTGCTCCTCCGGATTCGAACACATTGGCCGTTTTTTGGGGTTTTGTATGGAGAGCATGGGACCCCAGTGCCCCGCAGAGCATCAGTATACTGTTTAGAACTCCAAAGTCATCATGAATATCATGACTTTCGAGATGTACTCGCTTGGGAGTTCCCTACCCTCCCCTCCTAAACTACTTTGTACTTATCATGGATCCTCGGAAGCGCAACATGGTAGACGACAGCCCTTAAAACCCTAAAACCCTAAACCCTAAACTCTGAACCCTTAACCCTAAGCCCTAAGCCTGATGCTCTATTCAAGGGTACCTCAGGAGCTTTCCCGAAGTAGAGGGGCAGCCGGGGAGTTAGACCACCGGAGACCCGACATTCTGGATGCCTTCGATGTAAGCTTTATAGGGTTCGTTTTTCTGTTAACGCCTTTTCCGTCTAACCCGAACCTTAGGGTTGAGGGTTTAAGGCTTTTGGTGTAGGCTTCGGGTTTAGGGTTTAAGGTTCGGGTCTGGGGCTTATAGGGCTTAGGGCTTAGGGTTCGGATTTGGGTTTTAGGGCTTGGGTGGAAACAATAGACCCTGACCTTTCAACGACTGAGCCCCATAATTCCCTGCACGTGATACTCTAAACCCGCGAGGTTTTCACATCCTGAACGCCAAACCCCGCAACCCGTCAACCCGTAATCTCTCCCCACACACACCCACCCACAAACCCTGAAGCCTCCGCAAGCAACATAAGAAAACGACAAGACAACACACACAGGCACAGACACCTTCATAAAGTCTAAGCTTATTCTCAGCCGAGATTTGACAAAAACAAGTAGAAATGGAAATACAAGCATACACACCTACAAGTCTTGATATGAGTGCATGGACAGATGTATGCATGCCTGCATGCATGTAGCGGTATAGTCATCTGCTTCATGCTACATCCGCTAGAAGCCTCCGCCCAGGTCCGCAAGCGCCCTGCGCGCGAAGCCAGTTCTCGGGCAGTCTGAGGCATTTTCGCCAAGTCTTCTTGCAACGAGAGAGCCTTGAGAAACACCAGGCAGGCTTAGATTCCAGTGTTTAGGGTTTAAGGTTTAGGGTTTAGGGTTTAGGGTTAGTAGAAGCCAAAAAGTTGGAACATTCTAATCCTCATTGCTTTTAAGCTAAAGTGTAAGGGATCCTAGCACGAATCCTCCTAAACCCATGTTCCAACTTTCTGGGGTTCGCTGTAGGGTCTTAGGGCTTTGGGTTTGAAGGTTTAGGATTTGGGTTTAGGGTTTGGGGTATGGAGCGGAGGTTGTAGGGCTTCGAGAAACCCTAACCGTCTCACAGTTTCCGTGTCTGTTAAGGCTTCACCTTGGATTCAAGAGCTCTACCCGCAGGCCCCATATGACTTCCTCTTTGGGATCTCCTAACCAGGACCATAGTACTTCCTCTTTGGGATTCCCTAATAGGATCCTAAATATAAGCCACAAAAAGGAACTACTATGGGGCCTATGGGTAGTTGTTTCGGGTTTAGGGTGTAGGGGCTGTTGTTTCTGTGTGGCGCGTCTTGGATTTCCTTGGGGCTGAAAACTAGGAGTGCAAGGCTTTAGGCTTCTGGGTTTCGAACACGAATTTTAGAGCTCCAGCGTGCTGGGCATTGGGGATGTACTGCTGGAGATTTTTGTCTTTGAAGCATGCGTCATCTTTCGGGCGATAAATGCGGGGCCTCGAGTTCAAGGGTTCAGGGACAATGCCGTAACCCCAAACCAAAAGCCATTCCAAACTCTATATCCGAAGCTCCAAATGGTAAACCCAGGCCTAGAACCCTAAACACAAAACTCTACGTCAAAGAGCTAGGAACTTACTGTGCCAGTTACCCGCCCTGATAAGGACACCGCACAGGCCTGACCCCAGCTGGAAGAGTGTCTCTACTAATGCAACCTAAGCTTACCACCCGAAGTGCTCAACCCCAAAAGCCGAAAAGTCTGAAACCTGGAACCGCCGAGCTCGAAGAACGGATACCCCCAACCCACATCTAAATCCCGACAAAACTCAAACCGTTAAACACGTGCAGCCTAAAAAAAGACGACTTCCCTGCCTCCTCTGCAGCCCACGGCGCCGGTGCCGGCAGCCCGCCAGCAGGACGAGGACCTGAAACCTCCGCCGATGGCCGGAATTGTAGAATAAGGCTTTGGGGTTTAGGGTTTAGGGTTTAGGGTATAGATTTACTACAATAATCCTTGTGCTTACACTTAAAACTTCCCCGAACTATCTTTCTCAATGTTGAGGCTGCTGTATTAGGATATGGCTACAGGCTTCGGATTTGGGGTAAAGGGCTCAGGGTTTGGGATTTACGGCTGGGGCTTGCGGGTTGGAGTCAAGGGCTTATCAGGTTTTGGATTTCTGGGTTATCATCCTTGGCCATCGCTATCGAACGGCTCCGGTTGCAACACGTGGTCCATGGGCTTGTTGGGTTCAAGGTTGAGGATGCGAGCTTCTGTCGGATTCGGCAGGTACCAGAGAGACAACAGAGTCTAACCAAGCAAAAGCCCTAAATCATGATTACACCTACAGGCTGCGTTGTAGTTCCTTTTTGGGGTTACCTTATAGAATCCTTAATATAGAACTGGTTAAACCAACAAAAGGAACTACAATGGAGACTATAGGCAGTTGGTTACAATGATAAGAACATCCAATACACCTTAGGAGACACTCGGCCCTCGACGGCTTATGGGGCTCTGTATATTCGGCCCGAAAGCAGGGGAGATTACCTTACTGTAAGGGTCCATGTACCCAAATAGTAGATACTTTGGCCCCAAAGTACTCAAATAGGGACTACTTTAAGGCAAAGTATCTCCTATTTGGGTACATGGTCCCCTAAACCCTAAACCCTGAACCCTAAACCCTTTTGGGTACATGGACCCTTTGGGTTACATAGATAACCCCCAATCCGATTTGACGGGGTCGGATATCGGCTCTCTGGGCACCACATCGTCCGTTGAAGGTTTGGCGTGCTCTTAAAGTGGTATAGGGTTTAGGGTTTAGGGTTTAGGGTTCAGGGTTCAGGGTTCAGGGTTCAGGGTTCAGGGTTCAGGGTTCAGGGTTCAGGGTTCAGGGTTCAGGATTCAGGGNNTTTAGGGTTTAGGGCTGCGGCTCCGGAGCACGAGCTTCGGTTGCAGGCCTGGGCCTTACCAAGTCTACTGAGCCTGGAAGACCTTCGCCGAGATGGGGGCTGAAACCAAACAGCCACCCTAAGGGTCCATGTACCCA